TCCGTGGAATTTGAACTCTAGACCTGCCACTTGGAGAGGGTGACGACTAGACCACTACACTAAGTCGCCACACCTCTCAAGAGGAGGAAAATATTACAAATTAGATTGTAACACAGTAGTATAAAATAGTTAGTTTATATTCAATCAATTGTATTATTATATTATTAGATATATACATTTATCTGACAAACTCATATGATCATGGCACAGCAACTGACTATTATTTTTTAACAGTTTATAATGTATTGCCGAATATTTGGCAAAAACGCAATATTTGGGCCAAAACTCCTTATAATTCGAGAAACTATACTATATATGCAAACAATTAAATTGAATTTACAATGCAAATACAAATTTTCAATACAAATGCATTTTTTTCATTTTTAAATTCTAAAAATTAAAAGTGCAATTGTTAAAAGTATTTCCTGTAAGAAAATTTTCGAAAAAATCTTTATTTTTTAAATTTTCTCTAACACTCTTATTCTCCTTTTTTTGCCCATTCTTTTTAGAAATGTTTCCATCAAGCTCGGCCAGTACATTACTTGATTTATCAGAAAATACTTCAAGATTGTCGAATGCATTTATCAACGAAACCTGAGAATCGGTTCGTTGAATATACGAACTTGCAAGGCAAAATTGCCGAATAATGGTGCCACCTTAGAATGATGACCTTTAGAATTATTATGGTCACCAGGAGCTTCTTCTTTATCGTGGTCACCAGAGGCTTTATTGTTGTCAGGATCACTGGGGGCTTTAAGTAAAGTATTAGTCAAATATTCAAAATTACAAAAATAAAAACTAATATGTTTTATCTTTTAAAACTTGTTTCAACACATTAAAAAATCTGTTGAGACCCTCATGCTGCATTACCGATTTTGAACGTTCATATGCGACAAGACCTTTTTGAGACTTGTGCCTCGTAATCGACATCATGACCGAATCGGAATACCCAAGCTCCTTCAACAATTGGACGGCAGTTTTTTTTCCAGAGTGGTTTGAAATAATACGAGTTCCAATTTGAATACCTGTAATTTCGCAAATGCCTTTAAAAAATTCTCACAACTTTCGCTCACCAAGAGTGTATGCATAATACCATTGCCCACTGAATTTAGCTAATATATTAAAAAAAAGTTGGTAAACAAATATTCAAATCTATAAAATCATAAGCATATATAAAAAATTATTTACTTAAATTTGAAGTCATCGGCTTTAGATAAAAATTTATCATGGTTATCGTAGGACATTTGGTAAAGAAGAATTTATAGTCATCAATGATGCTTTTAATATTGGGCAAGCTGATAACCTCAGCCTGTGCATCGTAATTGTTAAGTCCTCGTTGATTGGTTTTAGACCTATACAATTTAACATCAATTCCACCGTCAAACCTTTTAATGAAATTGTTAATTTGCAAGGTATAATGTTTACCCCCATGTAACGCCAACAGCATTGAATTATAAAAAAATCCTTCGTAATAAACCTTCCGGTGTATTATGTTGCATCGTGGGGTGGTCCAAGATTTGTTCAACTTCATTTAATGTCAGCCCATCGGTACCGACTCATTCACCCAGACCTTTTGCAGAAAGGCTCTTTAATTTTCCATTGACTACTTGGTTAAGATCAAAGTATGCCTTTGAATTAAGTATATCCACGGGCTTTTCCATAACTGAATGTTCATTAAGATGCCTCCAGATTGCTGCTATACAACTCCTTATGGAGCTTATGTGATACTCTTCTCTGTTCTTTCATTTCATTGCGTATATGAATTTAACTAACTGATCCTCAAGGACCGTTTTCGTATCGACTTCTTCAATTTTTCCTTCGTAACCAACATCAGAGCAAAACTTTTCTAAGGCTCTGACCCATAATTCTGTTGCCTTATGAGTCGCTTTAACCTTTCTGTTATTTTGAATTTTCTTGAGGTCATTTGTAGAGGGCTCTGTGTACTTAGCTCGCTAATAGAATACTGTGTTAATCTGTTTTTTTGTTTTTTTTTTGTACAAAAAACAAACTAAAAAAAATATATTATCACACCTTTGTCTCACTAACTTTCTTAGTTGTTGATTTAGTTTTCGGCATTGATTTTAGGTGAGTTTTATAGTTTCCAAGTGGTTTACGGCTTCAGAAGTGCTTTTTTTTTCGGATGAGCTTTTCTTTACAGATGAGCTTTACCAGTACCGATTTAAGTACTTTTGCAGCTTTAAAAAGCTTTAGCAGGTTTAAAAAGCTTCAAAGGTAGATTATACCTTTGAAATTGAATAACCTTCTTGTAATTAAAACTAGCGGCTTTCAACTAACTGTCCAATATTTAACAACAAGACCTCCAACTTCCTCCAGCAAGGACTTCAACTACCACCACATGAATTCCAACTACTACACAAACTTAAAAGTGTTTAAAAAAAGAAAAAAAAAATTTTCGCTTTAAAAAAATATATTCTTTCGCTTCTAATTTTTTTCCCACTTACGTAGAAAAAAGATTGATTTAAATACTAATCTACGATCTTTTTTTCTAGTTCTAAGATTATATTTATGGGGGGAGGATCAGGCATCGGCGCCATGATCATAAATTATCAGATAATGTATACTTATTAGCATAGTATTACTGTAGTTAGCATTTTATTATTATTATTATTATTGTATTATTATTTAGAGATGTTATTGGCTAGTTATATTTAGCACAGTAATACTATACCTAAGATAGCATAAGTGTTTCCAAGTGCCTCTATACAAGTGCCTTCAAGTGCCTCTGCATGAGTGCCTCCAAGTACCTCCAAGTGCCTTCAAGTGCCTCTATATGAGTGCTTTCAAGTACCTCTGTACAAGTGCCTCTAAGTGTCTCTATACAAGTGCCTCTAAGTGCCTCTACACAAGTGCCTCTAAGTGCCTCTACACAAGTGCCTCTAAGTGCCTCTATACAAGTGCCTTTGAGTACCTTTATACAAGTGTCTCTGAGTGTTTTCTTACAGTGCTTCTAAGTACTTCTTATACGGTTTAGCCATTACACCTCTTATGTGTGAAAAATTATAAAAAAAGAGCCTTTTGCCCCTTCTGCTCAAGTTAGAGTTCTCTACCCTCTTATAAAATCTAGTTTTATCTAACTACCCCCTTATATCCCTTTTACATTTGTATAGTGTAATATTCTCTCTTTAGATTATTTAAGGATATTACTATAAACTTGTTAACAATAAATATTATTATCTCTATAAACTATTATCATCTTGAACCATTTGCCTCTTGCTATAAAGTAAAAGTATACACTTCATGTTTACCCCATGTATATTCATAAAGCATATTACTGCATTGGGTGACCTTGTTACTTTGCTATAACAATACCAAGAAGGCTATAGCTTTGTAACAATATAAGCACCCTGGTAATAATCACTACTGGTTATAGTTAGATTTATTCTAAATTTACTATTTATAAATTTTAAGCTAAAAATTCCTTTTAACCTATATACTGGGTAAATAGAAACCATTTAAGGTTTAAAAGACTTATCACAGATCATTTTGACAATGGATATTTTCAAAACAAATATTTGTTTTTATCAATCAACCAATCAAACCCCTTAATTTGCAGACATATATACAACTAGGTCACTATGACTTTCCCATAATATTAACTTAATTATAAATAATAAAATAAAATAATTTAGAACTTTGTATATTTTGCTAATAAAAGAAGATTTATACAACAAAATATCAGGAATAATGTAATCTTTATCTTTGAGATTGATGAATTAAATGATTACTAGTCAACAACTTGAAAAAGAACTTAATTAGTATTATAGATAAATATGTAGCAATGATTCCTCTAAACTCCCAAACCGTTGATTGTTGATGATTAACAATTGATGGCTCCAAGGAATTCTATATCATTGCCCTATACATACTATCATATATTTGTATTAACTGCCTAATCAGTTAATATCAAACATATCACTTCTAGTTGCTATATTGGTCTTTATATTAATAGTGTGAAGACTAATACTATCACATATTGTAATATCAATAGAAGTTCTGAAAAAGTTTAATAGCTGCTTTATTAATGATCCTACTACTGAATTGGCTTTATTATTATCTCTAACCAAATAAAAAGTCATATTTAGTCTATGTTATTTATATAGATAAACAAAAAATAAACAACTTGGACAAAAGCAGCTAAGAGTATGAAGTTATTACTATTAATCATAACAGATCAAAGTCTATTGAAGATAAAGATCTGAAGAAGGTATAATAGTATTTGTAAAGGAATTGGAGTTAAAAAGAATAAGTAGTAGTTAAGATAACTAATCAATAGATAGCAATAGATTCATCTACTACCTACTATAATTAATTATATAGCTGTGTAATTATTTAAAGACTATAATTTTGCCTTCAAAGTAGTTCCTTCAGACTTCAATTCTCTAAACATTTATATATCTTTATATATATAATCTTTTTAGTATAGTTTCAAATTCTCTATTGTAATTTTTTTAACTATCTTTATACAGTTATCTTTTTTGTTATTATATTTTATTTCTGTTTTGTATCAAAATATATTTTCTTTGTTAATTAATAAATTTCATATTTTAGGTTTAGGCTGCAGATAAATATTTAAGTTATCTATTAGGTTCTCTAAATATCTGAGTTCTTATTCTTAGCACTAGGCTTAAAATTTAAAACTTTTTCAATTATGTAAAAAGCTTTCATTAAGTTTAATAAAGATAAGAGCAAGGTCTCATCTTAAATATTAAAAAAAAAATAAAAAATAAAAATAAATTTCATATTTCTACTAACTTAGGATAACTTTTTCTAATGATCATTTAGACCAAAATTTTCCACAAAAAAAAAGTCAAGTTTGGATACTGAAAAGTAGAAAAGACATGTAGTAAGTAGACAACAATGTGGTTTTTATAAAGATCAACTTTTTATGCTTTTATAAAAACTTCTTTATATATTTAACATACAAGCTGAAAGCATCTTTATACAAGATAACTGGCTAGAGAAGTGTGTCCTTGTATATGAAATTTTAGTAGAGATTATGGTTTTCTTCCATCAACAAAGCATTCTGTTGCTAAATAACTAGAGAATAGTAAAAAACTTGCTATTTTTAAACTACACTCTTTTACTTGGCCAAGTGACTCCTCTCTTACTCACTTTTATTTTCTTGCCGGCCTTTCAAAATTTTTTACAAAAAGTGAGAGATTTGGCTTATTCCCTCCAAAATATTAGTATTGTTTACTTCTCAAATTCAGATGGATTAGCAAAATGCAATCATGTGTTTATTTATAGATAAATATAGTGCTATTTTATAGAATTCAGCCTGAGAACTCTAATTTTGAATTAGGATGGGCAACAAAGCTATTCGAAGTTAGTGGGAAGGTCAGAAAGTAAATTTAATATTAAGGCAAAGTTTTACAATAGAGATATACAAATGTTGCAGTTGTTATATAATTTTTATCAGCTATGCATGAGCTATAATAGTGCTTTCAGGGTTTTAGATTTCTTTTTATATTTTTTCTTTTTTACAATCAGTGTTTCTTTTTTTTTTTTTTTTTTTCTTTTTCTGGTTATTTTTATATATTTTCTTTTAAAAATTTCACCCTTTTGTCTCATGCTCCTTGAGAAGAAGAAAGAATTAGAAAGAAAAAAAAAGATTCTAATACGATATACAACAACCTGTCAAATGATTAAGAGAGGCATCATTTTAACAATCAAAATCTGAAGTAAGTTTTAGAGACTAATAGTTGTTATAGCAGATCACATTGGGTATTTAGTCTAATGAGTTTTATTGAGTTAAAGTAACAAGTTGTAAGAATTTAGTATATTTATATAACAGCTTATATGAATAAAGGCATAATCACTTAAATATAAAAAAATAAATTTTATATTTCATATACTAAGTTGTTTTAATATATTATGAGATTTGTAATTTTATATTTGTTAATGTATCTATATGAAACTTATAGTATCTTATTTGTTACAACTCTACATATCTTCATATATGTCTGTATTGTTGCCTCTTTTATTAAAGCCTTAGTAAACCTCTTGTTAAGCTATGTATTGATACCTTTTATAGCTAGCCAAATCCCAAAATAGTAGTTCAAGATAAACTAACTATTTTATTCCTTGGAGTTGTTTTAGATATCAACTTTAGGTATAATATTGTAGTAGTGACTATGAGATATGTCTTCATTGTTAAGTATTAATTATAGAACCATTGTATAGTCTTTTATACAAAATTTGTCTATAGGAACAACTAGCACAATTAACAATATATTTTATATTTTAGTATTAGAGTACAAGTTCACTAGCAACTTTACTAGACTTTACCAGATTTTTTTTATATACTTTGTTACCCAATAGCCACCAATACTTCTATTCAGTTTATTAGATTTTGAATCTAGTTTGCTATTAAATATCTTATACATATATATACTAATTATATACTTTACATCTATCAAAGATTAGCCTAAACAAAAATCTAGTTAGAAGCATATTTTCACACTTTAATATATATGTATTAATATAATGAAGATTCTAACTTTGAAATTTTAGCTACCTAATTATAGCAAGTATATTAACAAATCAACAAGTTCAAGTTAGATCTTTTTGTTATCCTTTACTGGCAAATAGCAACTACTCCAGGGTTTACAACATCTAAATCTAATTTAGAACTTAATAAACTATTCTAAACTTCACCTCTATTTTTAAAAATTTAATCTATAGCTAATACACAAGCTATTTTAGATTGTCTCTAGGTCAACCAACAAGAAAGTGTCTTGTTAAAGATCGATCTGTTTCTGAAAGATAGTATTTAAGATTTACAAGCATGAATTAAAGGTTTTGAAAAAGCTATTATAGCCAATAAATAGAGTATATATAGGAAATAGAAAATTTTGTTTATATTTTTATATAATAATATGAATAATTGGCAACAAATATACTTTGCTGTTAATCTATTTGCAGCTAACCTAGCTAATTTTGATAGTAACTAGAATAGCTATTTTGAATGCTTTCAAGACTAGGTTCTATACCTAGTGGCAGACCAACAAGTAAATTACAGAGCTAGATAATCTAAAACAGTTGTACAGTAAATT